TCGGCTCTTTTCTCTACTTTTTTCAATCGGAAGGTCTCGAAATTCTCCTACAGATTTCGTCTAATGAGCCTGCAGAGAAGAGGGTACTCCTCCGTTTCCGTCGCATCTCTCCTCATCTTTCTCTGCTTCTCCAGCTAAGTCTTTACCTCTTCTGACTCTTTCTTTCGCCCGTTCTGATGTTACCGCATCGGCTGACTTTATGCAGCGCATCAGTTTCTCGGCGAATTTCTCGTAGTCGTCGTCGCAACTGCCTTTCAAACTCCAGTCTACGTTAGAAGTGCGCGCTTCCAGAACCGCCTCGTCAAATAGCGTATGTCGTTGTCTGTATCTGTCATCGGTAATATCTCCTTCTTGAAGCTGAGTCAAGCCCGCATCAGTCCGTGATCACTGTCGGAATTAAATAATGACTCTACAACTATGTCCCACATGATACGAAGTTCATCAAACAAGATGAAGTCTACCATGTTCTCCGCCGCCGAGTCGGAGGCGATCAATGACCACCTACCACCATCTATTGGTCTTTTTCTTCAAACAGGTACTACCGATGTACAGGTGTTTCGTTTTTGTCATGGTAACAAGTTAATTTCTTCGCTCATTTCCCTCTCTTGTGCCGTACCTGCGGATAAATGTTTTACCGTCTGTTCCACGTCCGACCTTCACACTTAAGTCTCCCATGACGAGAATGAACGATGACTTTGGGACAATTCCTATTCGTCAGTTGTACTTGGGGGAGCAGAGATTTAGACGATCATGAAGGTACTATTCTTGCTCAGTTGGATGCACAGCACGCCCATTCTTGGTGATTTCACATGGCAGACGATTGTAATGGATCATCCTTTGTTGACTACAAATCCTATGCTATGTTTCTCGCGCTCTTTCCTCTTCACAGCCAAATTGAATTACTGTTTTTTTTTCATATGCCGTTCATTTCTCCGAGATATACTCCTCCGGAACGAGCGTACTTGTCTACGTACCGTTTTTTGTTATCTTCACCAGTACTTGAGACAACGACGTCTGGTCGATGTAGAATTTGAAGTCGAACACGCTGCTATTAATGTTAACTTGGCCGGGCCGCCAGACACCAACGTTCTTGAAAAAAAAATGGTGGGGCGTTCAAAAAAAACAAATAGAAAAAGTCAACGCTAACATCCACGTACCTGGTCCTTGATCTTTTCCAAAACAACGATCGACGCAAAGAACTTCTGCAAATAAGACCATTCTGCCCTCTGGCCGGTGCCGGAATCGGCGCATATTCGACTCAGCACGCTGGTGTGTACAACAATCGGGCTGATGGATGGCGTCCAATCTTCTGGAGGCGAATAAGAGGCAACATCTTGACTACCAGAAGCATAAGTGCCTTCCTGATCAACATCTACAAATGAAACAGTCGTGAAGGACGGTTCACGATCATAAGTTCCATCATTACTCACAAAATTTAACAATGAAATGCCCTACACTGTTGTAACTCGAGCACATGAAGTTGGAATATTACATTTTTGTGACACACAGATTTGAACAATGCAAAGCGG